GGGACCCCGCCGCCCCTCTCCGGCCCCCGCGGAGCCCCACAGCCGAACCCCGCTCCCCCGGGACAGGGTCCTGGGTCGGGCTGGCGTGGGCGGGAGGGAAAAGCGGTTTGAAACCCACCTAGTCTCGTCCTGCGCTACCAGTCACCGAGTGCACCCGGATGGAACAGCCGCATCCTTCCGCACGAGAACTGTTAAAAATTCAAGGCAAAAAGATTAGGCACGAATGCCTGGCCCCGCTCCTCCCTCCCCTCCTCGCCCCCACCCCCATATTACAGTCCTTTAGGCCAGCAGAGATGATTTCACGGTTTTCCAGTGGAAATAGCTAAAAATGCTCCTGCTAATTACAGAGCTCTTCCAGGCCAGGTGCACTTTTAATTGGATTAGTAAGTGCTCTATATTAAACCTGCAGCACATCAAATGGACAGTGAAAATTAGAGCTATTAAGAACACAGGCAATCATTTCTGAACGATAACATTACTGCTTTCTCCTCTATTAGAAATAAATCAATTATACTGTTTCCGGGTTTGTGCGCATACATTATTTTCTCATAAGGATTTCGGAGGGAATTCTCCGCCTAACTATTTCCAGGGGAGGTGAGAGGGATAGGAGAGTACAGCTTTGTAAATAGAAACGTGTACTTGAAAGAAGGAAAGGAAAGGAAAGGAAAGGAAAGGAAAGGAAAGGAAAGGAAAGGAAAGGAAAGGAAAGGAAAGGAAAGGAAAGGAAAGGAAAGGAAAGGAAAGGAAAGGAAAGGAAAGGAAAGGAAAGGAAAGGAAAGGAAAGGAAAGGAAAGGAAAGGAAAGGAAAGGAAAGGAAAGGAAAGGAAAGGAAAGGAAAGGAAAGGAAAGGAAAGGAAAGGAAAGGAAAGGAAAGGAAAGGAAAGGAAAGGAAAGGAAAGGAAAGGAAAGGAAAGGAAAGGAAAGGAAAGGAAAGGAAAGGAAAGGAAAGGAAAGGAAAGGAAAGGAAAGGAAAGGAAAGGAAAGGAAAGGAAAGGAAAGGAAAGGAAAGGAAAGGAAAGGAAAGGAAAGGAAAGGAAAGGAAAGGAAAGGAAAGGAAAGGAAAGGAAAGGAAAGGAAAGGAAAGGAAAGGAAAGGAAAGGAAAGGAAAGGAAAGGAAAGGAAAGGAAAGGAAAGGAAAGGAAAGGAAAGGAAAGGAAAGGAAAGGAAAGGAAAGGAAAGGAAAGGAAAGGAAAGGAAAGGAAAGGAGAAAAGAAAAGAAAAGAAAAGACTAGCATAACTAGTGTGTACGGCGCCTGTAATTTCTGGTTCGTGCGGCAGGCTGCCCCCGCCATAAACACCTCCCAAAGAACCCCTGGGTTTGGGGTCTCTGGTGTGGGCTGCCTCGGGGCTGGCCCGGTGGGTTTCGCCCGCTGCCTGGTGTATCTCTCTCTACACTTTTCCCTTCTTCTCCCCCTCCTACAGAGCGGGCTGGTTGGTGCATTGCGGGGGTCTCGTACCGGCCGGGGGCCCGGGCGCCGCTGCCCGGCGGTGAGGGCAGGGGATGCTGCGGGGACGCCTGTGCCCGGCGGGGTGGGGAGCTG